AAAAAAAAAAAAAAAAGACTTTCACGCACTCGTACACAGGGCCCAGACGTGCATGAAGGTTGGTACCGCAATCCTGAGGTGGCACTTGGCCGAGACACCCACTGGCTGAATTTCAGCGTCGAAACTTGCTTGGTGGCCGAGCTGAAACACCCACACACAAGCACAAAAATGCGCACACATGCACACACACGTACACACACACACACACGCATACACACGCACACACATACTTACGTATTATGGTTCATCACAATATGTGTTTTTGCATTACGTATACACACACAGACACCAAGACACACACGCACACACACACACACGCACACCATGGGTCGTCACAATATGTGTTTTCGCATTTGCATACGTGCAAAAACGCATAAAAACTGACCTTGACTCGATGAAATCACCAGGCGATGAGAGCTCTTGCTGTACCGAGAATTGCGCAACACTCCATTTGTGCATGAAGGAAATTGTATCCATTTTGGTTGCACAGGCCGAAATGTACACCGCGCCATCGTGATGGCGATATGTGGAGGAACTGCCGGAAGTGCCCGAAGCTTGATTGCTCGACTGTCCACCCTCGCCAGCGGCACGCTGTTGCTGCTGCGAGAATTCGTTGCTATATTCAGCCAACATCTGAATTTTTCCACGACTATTTACCGCACAACTGGAATACTTCCCGTCCTCAAGACCGTATTTCGCGTTTTCGTAAAATTAGCGTTTGTAAAATCCGTAAAAATTAGAGTTTTTTTTTTCTAATTTTCTATTTTTCTGAAAAATTTGAGCAAAATTCGGCTCGTGAGCGTCACAAACGCTAATTTTAGTGCAACACTCGACAACACATGAAAAGCGAAGGCAAATTTTTCCACGACTATTTACCGCACAACTGGAATACTTCCCGTCCTCAAGACCGTATTTCGCGTTTTCGTAAAATTAGTGTGTTTGTAAAATTTGTAAAAATTAGAGTTTTTTTTTCTAATTTTCTAATTTTTCTGAAAAATTAGAGCGAAATTCGGTTCGTGAGCGCCACCAACACTAATTTTAGTGCAACGCTCAACAACTCATGAAAAGTGAAGGCAAATTTTTCCACGACTATTTAGCGTACAACTGGAATATTTCCCGCCCTCAAGACCGTATTTTAAGTATTCGTAAAATTAGTGTGTTTGTAAAACCCCTGAAATTAGATTTTTTTTTCTAATTTTCTAATTTCTAATTTTTTAGTTTTTCTGAAAGATTAGAGCAAAATTCGGTTCGTGAGCGACGCCAAACGCTAATTTTAGGCCGAACAACACATGAAAAGCGAAGGCAAAAAACCGATAGAATGGGCAAAATGGGTGTTTCTGCTGATGGTTGTTTGCCAAAACCTGAAAAAAAATCGTAGATTTGATGGGTAGTTCATTAAAACAATCGAGAAAATTCTGCGGTTTTTCTGCTACTTGAAAAAAATAAGGAAGAGGAAACGAAGAGCCTGTAACTCGCGCTATTTCTCCTCGTTTTAATTGCTAGTGTTTACAGTTTTTTGAGAATCTCAAAAAGCGCTAAGATGTAGTGCACACTGCGTGCACACAACTGAGCACCAGCACACACGCTCCTAAATTACATAAGCATGAGCATGTAAGTACAAGAAAACAACAGAAGGATGAGACTACTGAGATGGCACAGAAGTGCCCTGGCCAGTTCCGGGGAGCTGAATTTGAAAACTTTTAGTCGCACATGAGTGGGGAACATTCCCCTAAATTTCCAGCGTTCTAGCTTTTCTCGTCCCCGAGTTAACAATTTTCCCGCCAAAATTTTACACGCCCGCACGTGAGTCCCGCGCGGTTCTAATGAGCTGAAATTGAAGTCGTCTGGTCGTACATGAATATTGAACACTGCCCTAAAATTTCAGCTTCCTAGCTTTTCTCGTTCTCGAGTTAGCAATTTTCCCGCCAAAATTTTCATGCGCTCGTACGCGAGTCCCAGGGCGGTTTTAAGCAGCTGAATTTGACTGAGGTCCTTTGGTCGTACATGATTACATAAGTACTGCCCTAGAGTTTCAGCTTTCTAGCTTTTCTCGTTCCCGAGTTAGCAATTTTCCCGTATGAAGGCATTCCCGAGTAGTAAAAAGATATCACACGAAGAACCACAAATGGAGGAAAGGAAGGACGACGAATTCAGCCCACACTTGCAGTTTCTGCACATCAAATATTCAGCCCATACACATCAAATATTCGTCAGAGGGCGATTGAGAGAGTTGTGCAACTCAGCCTCCATATTACGGCCGCTTGTGCAACCAATTTTCGCGGATCGTGCAATCCCGATGCAGGGATTGTGCAAAAACAAATGGATCGACTGTAAAACTGTACAATATACAATACAACACGCTGTAGACCGCGGAATATACGGTCAGCAGGATGAAACAGTAGAATGGAAGGGGATTGGACTTAAGTGTCATGTGTAAG